GGTGAAGGCAGCGGCCGCTTGCCTTCCCCAGGTGTGTCGCTATGGAGACGCCAGAACCCACAGAATAACGCCCATGAAAAGCGAACTGCATTTAAACAACCTTGTTTACAGGATGGTAAGGTAAGACATTCCCAATGTTGTTGGCGCCGAACCGCCTACAGAAGCCTCAAGGAGCGCTCGACGCATTGGGGCCTTTTTCTTGACGCTATCAGTGTCTGCCGGCTGCCGAGGCTTTGCTTTGTGGGCGCAGTGCTCACTGGACCAGAAACCGACCGCGGCAATCCGAAGCTGCTCGCGACATGTTGGACACCGAAACTTACACACGAACCATGAAACTCGCAACTTCCCATCATACAGCCACTGACAGGATCGGCGCAATCTCTTCCGGAGAACTCGCATGCCAGCCTCGCCAACACCATGGCTTTGATTTGGAGATAATGGGCCTGACCACGCACGTAAGCCGTCGAAAAGGCTACCAATAACCTACCGCGCCCCCCGATGCCTTTCGTGTTCGAGTTAGCGGATGAATGACGGCAGTCACTTGGTGACCCGGGCTCCTGCATTTGCCCAGTTTGCCATCGCGAAATAGGATCGGAAAGGATCTTTGCGCACCTTCTTGGAAGCCCTGCCGGGGCTGATCCACGCCTCTTTCGGAGCATCTACCTTCTTCACACCACCTGTCCAGGCATGTCTTGTTTGGCGTTGACTTGGGCAAGAAACCCTGTGTCGCAGCTTAAGCCTGTGTGTCACTAGCTTGCCGGCCTGCACGTGGCACGGACTGAGAGGAGAGACCGGCACGCCCGTCGTACTCCTCAGCACAAGCTTCAAAGTAATGGCAGACAGGTGGGACCTCTGAGGCAGGGGCTGCAAGATCTGTGCCGTCTTCTTCTCCACTGAAATCCATGTCACGTCCAAAAATCACCTGAAGCACGGATGTGGGGCGTCGGGATCTTAAATTTAGCAGAGACTGAGGGAGTGAACGGAGTTCCAGCTGACCGCGGCCAATGCGGCACTTGGGGATGTGGCTGTCTGCTCTGCTTGCTTCCAGTCTCGGTTCCTGGTAGTTTCTGTCAGGAGCTGGGAAGCCGCGAATCGGCGAAATTCGAGTTCTGTCCGAGCGCAAGCTGCAGAACGATTCAGTGCAACGAAAGAACGAAACCCCCCAAGTGCAAACCGGCAACCAAACGCCTGACTCGATACCCCAATTGCAGTAGAGAAGAACTTCAGTAACATCTCCAAGTTCCTGGACATCCGTGTGTGTTCCTTGTGCTCGCCTTGGGAAAGATTTCGAAGAAGCTGTTAGGAGTTTGGCTTCGTTTTCGCGATAGCACCGCAGATGCTGTCTGCGGCATTCTCAAGCAAATATCGCAAAAGCGGGGTTAGCTCCCCCGCCCCATTCCCTTCCCCCCACCACGCCCGCCCTGCCGCACTCCCACCGTCGTCCCCAGAAAAACTCAGCAGTCAGAGCTCTTTCCCTCCTCTTGATCCCTTCGCAGTGACCCGCAGAGGTCCACACTCCAAGACACGGCCTACAGCCTGGGCCCACGCTTGGTCCACAGAGGAGGCTTGCGCCCCGATTCCGGCATACCTGCAGTCACTGCAGTCACTGCAGCATCTGCCCAACCACACTTTGCTGGGATTCAGGAGACAAGGAGAACTCCTCAGAGGCGGGACTCAAAGATAAGGACAGCAGCGTGAAGATCACCACAGTGGGGGAGCATGGTCGAACCTTCAAGCCTTACAAGCAACCATGCTACCAAACATGGAGAACAACAGGGTTTTGCATACAGATTCATGAGCTGAACATCTCGCTGCAGATCATGAAACTAAATTCGGGAGGATGCTGCAAGCGTTGGAGCCTCTTCACACCTCGAAGCCTTTTGCCCTTTGCACGAGCTGCTTCGAGGGCAGGGTGGACAGCCAGGTTCGCCTGAAGCAGGAAAGCAGAACACTGTAGCATCCCCTGCCCTTTCAGGCATGCGCAGGCACACACACACACATCCACACACATCCACCGAAGACAAGAAGGCTTTGTTAGTCCTACAAATTTCGGCGACAAAGCGCACTGATCCGACTGAGCACCCGTCTTTCTCAGCTCTTTCCTGTGGCTGAGAGCCATGGCAAATCAAGTGTACACATGAAGTGAATGGATTCAGATCCTCCGAAGTTGGGTTCAATGGCATCGTGCGACGTATGCGAGTGTCATGCTCCTGGGCCGCCAAGAGCTGCAAGTGAGCGAAAACCCACAATGACTGTACCTGGGCCCGAAACCACCCAGCCGGCAACTGTCTCGTTCTCCTGGCTCCTGCCAGGTGAAATGTGAGACAAAAAAAATCGCGGTGTGTCACGACAATCAAGTCAGCTGGACATGCCAAAAGTCGATGGCCCCTGCGGCCGCTTTGGCGTACTTCGCGTGCCTCCCCAAAGTCCCCCTATGTCCCCCGTCCAAGTCCGAGCCCTCAATCGGCCTTTCTTAATTATCTTCGGGGTTGGAAGCTCATCTGGCCCTGACCTGCGTCACTGCGGCTTCGGCACCGATGGTATCAAGGTGCCGTGGCTGAGTTGCTGGCTTGGCGGTTTCGACGCCATTTTGACCTGCGGCGATTCTGTCAGCCGCAGCAGCGTCCTTGTTTGCACCAATTCTCATGGAAAACAATCGACAAGGCTGCACGACATGGATGCTATGCGGCCAAGGTCTTGCTCAGGTCCGTGCCGAGGGTCGGCTCTTGGGCGGTGTCCTGCAAGGGCGGGTGCACAAGATTGCCATCCCGACGCTTCGCGACAGCGGGAATCGCCTGTCTGCGGATTGTGGCGGCTTCTGAGGCCTGAAGGCTGACATCGGATGCCCGCGGCAAGTACCGGGGTGTAAGTGCCAGGCGTAGGTTCCGCCATGTCGAAGCATGCCGTCAAGCAGCATGCTAAATCCGCTTCGCCATCGCAGTCGCAGCTTGCGAGACCGAGTCTTGGAAGATGCTTGGCGCTTGGCAACAGGACAAAACGCATGGACATGGGCTGATATCAACGCGGCAAACCACCGAAACCTTCTGTATCTTGTACTATTCGTACACTCATCCCTTTATTTATGCAGGTGAGAAGTACCTCGCGCATGGAGCCTTGCGACGATGTTGGACACCCCTAAGCACTTACGTCGGAAAGCATTGCCTCAAGAAGGAAACACACCATCATGGCTTTCGAGTCTCAGGAAGCTGAGCAATTGGGCGGACATGCTGCAAATCCAGGGTTCACTGTGTCAATATGAAACAATATGAAATCAAGCGTTTTGGTAGCAACAGCCGTGAAAGACCAGGACCACCACGATAGGCGGTCGTACCCAAGGATGACCACCATCATGAGGGCGAGAACCACTCACGACGACGCAGGAGCATCGCGACGACCACCCAAGACACCAGCGAACAGGCGACGGTGACACAATGCGACAAAACTATATCAGCGTCTGGCTACGTGCAAAAACAGCAGAAGCAGTCTCTGTAACTGTAGCAGACTGTACAAGATGGCCGAAGAAGAGTCCGGCTAGCTAAGCCCATCATCCAATGCAGGGAATCTAGACCGACCTCTCGGATCAGCTTTTCTTTATGGCAGAAATCGGCCAATGCGGCTTTGAGAGCTGAGCTGCAGCTCGGCTTTCTCCGCAGCGCAGAAAAGCGAGACAGAACCGCGTCTGCCCAGCGCTCCGCCGTCCCCGCATTGTCCCCGCAGTCCTGCGAGGCAGCTCCGACCGGAGCCCCAACGACATGAAATCGGACTCTACTCTCCAACCCCCGTTTCAAGCCTAAGCTCTCGACAACTTCGCTTTCAGCTCTCCGGGCTCTCTGAGCTCTTAGGCCGCAGCACTCTCAAAACGGCCGAGGCCGCCCCGCCTCGAGAAGCCCCGCAAGGCGCTGTGGTGACTCAGAGAACTCCGCTCCGACTCCGCTCCGCTGCTCCGCTTTCCAGTGCTTTCCAGTGCTGAGATCTGCACGGGCCGCAGAGGCAGATTCGGCCGGATCACCTGCCAAGACACGGGGCCCTGAAAGTAGGACCCTTTCCCTTTCTTCCGCTTAAGGGGCCCCCGGCCGAGGCAGAGGGCATCTCCGGAGCGAAGTTCGGTCGCACGGGCACAGCCTGAGCGTCGCAGGCGCTGCGCATCGCTGTGCCCTCCATGCGCTGCACCCTCAAATCCGTCTGCGCATTGCGCGTGCAGCCCAAGAGGCAGCAGGCCGAGAGCTCACGAAGGGACTGAGGGGTGCCCTCTGAGGTCCAGCGAGCCCAGCGGGCCCGCGGGCCGGGGCCTCACTCTTCAGGACGGAACTGGCTACCTGGCTGTTGCCATGAGAGGCCCGAGGCAGGTGCGGAAGGAAGTCCTGGCCCTGGTGATTTCACCTCCCGCTCCGCTCTGCAATGCTCAGCTCTCCCCGCACTTTTCCTTCTCAGAGCACTTTGGTTGGGGCCCCGGCGGGTGTCAGGAAAGGTCGCCGCACCTCCGCAGCAGGTACCTCCAGCTGCTCCATGTCCGTGAGCACCAAGAAGCCGGTGGCCGTCTCAGCCAGCACGGTGCCGATCTTCCACTGGCCCTGACAGGCACAAAGCAGAGAGAGAGAGAGCAGCGCAGAAAAAGCACCGCCGGCCGGCCTGGCTCAGGACTTGGACGTCCGAGCCGATCTCAAAGCTGGGCGCCTCAACCTCTTTCTCGGGAGGGGACCCGAGAATCGGGCCGAGCGTGCCGAGCGGGCCGCGAGGGGCCACCCGGCCAGGACCAAAAGGCGGCCCCGTGGGCCCGGCCAGGGGACGCCTCGAGGTGGGTGCCTCCTTGGCCATGAGCGCAGCCGCAGCTTTGGCGGCCGCCTCACAAACGTTTTGGCCGCTGTGGAAGCACACTGAACAATCTCTCTCTCTCTCTCTTCGTTTTTCTTTCCCCCGGCCTCTGCCAAGTTCAAGGGCCCCGGTGCTTTGGGGGGGACGACGGTGTGGCTAGGGCCACGAGGCTTCGGAACAGCGAGGCCTGGAACAGCGAGACCTGGCTTAGGAGCCACCACGCTCGGACCGCCGGGGCCGAACACGCTCGGAAGTCCGGAGCCGACGGAACTTCTCTCGGCAGACGCCGGCAAGGAAGCACCTGCCATCTTTGCATTGCTGAGCCGATGACGAAGCATCACCAAAGCCACGCCCACAAGAGTACTTACATACTTACATACTTACAT